TGCAAAGTGACAAAGTTCTAGGGATGTGTTGTAGTACACATAGTTCCCAATACTGTACTGTACACTCCAACATTAAAAGAGGATCAATTTACGGCATGTGTTGTTAAACATAGGGATAAATAAATAAATATACAGGATTGTGGGTTTTCACTGAGTCCAGATAAGATGTATACATGTACGATAAACCCTCTTTCATGTCGAAACCTTTGTGGACAACCACATGCTGGCTTTCAGAGCTCCTACGCTGTTTTTTTTTTTCATAAGCCTGAGGAATCAGAAATTCATAGACGAGGAAATCACAGAACCAGTCCAAGTTGCTCTCTCTGGTTTAGGCAGATTGACTTTCTTCTAAACTCTCCTGAGAGCAGAAAAGGAAAGGAGCTATTTATTTCTCTTTTATGACTGCACTCATTTTATATATGTGTTTCTATCTCTGGTCTGTGACATGTGGGTGGCATCAAGATAACTCAACAGCTTTCTGAAAATGCCTCCTTCTTTAGTCAAGACAAAGAATCAGAATTATTTAGGGGTAAGAAGATTACGTGGTATGATAAAATATACACAAATGCATTAGGTATCTTTCCACATCTCCATAATTTCTTCTATGATATTTAATCTAATCACAAATATACTGAGAATAATGTTAGAAATCTCTTTGGTGGATTACAGCTTAAGTAAGTTTTCTTAAGTAAGTTTTTGCCCTCTAATTGTTCATAGTTAGCAAACCTAATCTTCCTTTAAAAATGATGCATTTTACTCAAATAGAAAAGTACAGACAACGTTACCAGATAACCTATACATCCACAAGCATAAAGTCCTATCTCAACATGGCCACAGTGGCTTCAGATCTTTTATTTCTATTTCATTTTTCAAAAACAAAGAAAAATTTATCCAAGACACAGCCAAGTCATCTGCCAGAGCTTCCTCCTTCTCTTTTGATGATAACTATTCGGAATTGATCGTACTCACTCGCAGGTTATTATACACTTACTGCTTATTACTGTGTATGTCTGTGGCTATATGGGTATATATTATAAATTATATATATCATTATTTTACACACTGAAAAGTATTATGTGAATAGCTTAGTGTATAACATACTATTTTGCATCTTCTTTGCTAAACAAGCAAACACGGTCTCCTTGTCACCTACTGTGATGCAGCTCAGACTGAAACCCTGATAAGTTTCGGGATGGTTCCTCTAAGTCCTTTTGACCTCTCTGCTTGCTTTCTTGGAATCAGTCCTCAGAGTCATCCACGTAGGTTTGATAGCCTGCCTGCATTGATACAGAAATCCTGTATTAGAATAAATGAAACCTAGAAAGAAACAATCATCCTGAAAGGAAACAGCTTGAAAGAGAAACAAAGCACAACAAAGCCAGAGTGACTCACTCTGATGGGCTTGGAGAGTCTAGAGCAAGGTATCCTGAGCTCTGCATTGTTAGTGTCAGTCCTGTACTGACAGAAAAGACCAAAATTTCCCTCCAGATTGTTCTCCACACAGAAGAAAACTGTAGGCAATTGGAGCTGCCTAAGAGAAAGCCAAGGTTATATAGGAGATTCGTATTTTCTAGGCTCATCTGCACCAGGGACTTCCTATTATTTGTAGCCAGAAGCACATCATAGTTCTTTTTCACATTCCTGAAATAGATTTTCTCCCAGTCTGCCATGTCTCTCTATTCTTCTTAGAGAAGTGCATGTTAATGTCTTGGAAAGCATTGTTGGCCCAGAGAAAATGATAGATTCCATCAATAACATCAGAATACAAGTCAGAACTTTGAACCAGGTCTTCTCACCTACCTGCATGCACGGTATAGACTGAGATCTCTGGGTAGTCTCTTCGAAACAAGGGTGAATGTTTTCTCTCCCTCACAATCCTGTCCTGATACCTGAGCAAACACTGAACACTTTCCTAACTCTCCTCTTACTTAGAGCTGGTGTTGTTGCTCCTATCCTTTTCTCTCCCCCTCCATGCGCTAGAAAGTACAGAATACGCCATTCTGTGTACATACTGAGAGACAGTCACTCACCAGTGCAGGCTCCGTGTCTGTGGTCCTCTGGTGACCAGCTTCTTATCACCAGGCCCCTTGCACCATAAATGTCGCTTAGAGGCTGGCTTTGCCTCCCTCAACACTCACCTTGAGCTTATGCCCTATCCTCCTGGTGTCTCCCACAAGCCTCATGTTGCCAGGACCACAAAGGCCCACTGAGTTTCCCAGCCCTAAGGCCAAGATGCCTGTTGTGGAGAAGGTGCTGAGAGGGGCTGATACTGCAGACCACTACCCAGAGCCAAACCTGTCCTCTCTATCAAGTAAGGCATCCAGAGAAGGGAGATGTAGAGACCCTAAGAGGATGTGTGCATGTAGGAAAAAGTACCGATAGCTCTCCTGTAACTGGGCTCATTTCAGGAAAGGAGGCAAAGGCAGGAGGATGGACATGGCTATGAGTGGTTGGGGGACGCCCTAAGCTTAGAGGCCAAAGAAGCACAAAGGAAACTTGGAGGCACCTACTTCTGGTAATTGGGTCAGACTGAACATCAGCATGCTCTTGCAGAGATCGGAAATGCGTATTTCTCATGGGGAGTTGTAGCAGCCCACTTGAGGTTGCTGGGAAATCTGGCCATAAAGCATTAAAGCATGCTCGGCCGTCACGAGGAAAGTGTCTCTCAGGCTGAAATGATTTTAGGTCCATCATGCTAGTGGTAATTGTGGTCTCTAAGGACAAGATATGAGGTCTTTCAGAAGGAAACCATTGATATGCTCAGGTTGAGAGAGCTGGGATCTTCCAGGCTGATGAATTGTGAGAGCTCTCATTAAGACGGTTCCCAGACACTGCGTGAAGCAGAGGCCTTTGAAGCAGTCGGGACTAAGAGTTCCCGGATGAGGACATTTCGGATATCTGACTGTGAGTTTTGTCTTCCAATAGGTGCTATAGGTAGTGTTTCTCAGGATGAGGGGTTTGAGGTTGCCTCGGGCTGAGGGCAATTTTTGTTTTCAAGGTGTTCGCTGGGGTCTAAACATTGCTGGGATTTGTCAGGACGATGACATTTGAGGTCTTTCCAGGTAAGATGATGTGGGTGGGTTCGTTACCTCAAGGTGACGAGCTTCTATGTCCCTCAAGGCTGATGAGATTTGGACCCTTGCGCTCTTAGACCGGAATTTAAAGATCTTCGGCTAAGGGGAATTCGCATGGCATATTCCCCCACACTGCCGTTTTTCTGTCAGTCTCCCACTTATCTGTTAATGTCGCACGCCGACCGGGACAGACGCGGAGTCCAAGCTCTTGGCACTTGCCTCGCTCAGGGGTCTGAAGCAAAGCCCCTGCTAGTAGAGTAAGTTCATCTCCAGCAGCCAGTCAGTGCTGCGATCCCAGGGTCCTACCCGCCATTTGCAGGTGTGAAGACGCAAGGTGGCGGAGCATGGGGCGGAGCCTTCCTTTCGGTCACTGGCAGTACCCAGTCCTGGGCTGAGGG